TTCTACATTTTTCCTTCTCCCTCGTTCCTTAAATTGTATGTCCTTTTGATTAAGAAATTCATGTAAATAAAATGAATGGTAGAACGTTTCCTAAATTTGCAGTAAAAAATATAGTACTTTGTTATTTTGATGAACCTGTGGTGTACAATTTTGATCCTTGTAGATGTCACTAGTTTCAACTACTCCTTATGCTTTGCTAAGAATCTGTCATGACGTTTTTTTGCAGTTAATATGTTAGGATTAAGTTATAGTATTTTAATAACTATCCTTTGGGTAGCTCATTGCGAGGAACGATTTTGTTCTATCGATAGCACGGAATATTGTACAAAAGAAAGAGAAGTTAATGCTTACAATAAAGGTATTTGTATATATGTATGTATATATATTTTATAACTGACATTTTTCATAAATTTCTTGTTTTATTAGTTTTAAACGAACAATATGAAAAATATAATTATGCAATTGAGGAGGCAGAGAAAAATTATAAACCATGCAACAATACAAATAATGGTTGTTTTAAAAATGTTATTATACGTGACTTGAAACCATTCAAAGAGAAAGGTATAAATAAAGATTTAATAGATACTGCAAAAATGAGGTATGTGTGATGCTTTCATACTTTGTAATAAATTTTGCAAGTTAAATGTTATACTTTTTGTAGAGGAACATTTTATCAAATAATAGAAGGAAACTTATATAGACAAAAAGATTGTATGTTTCCTTCACGATGTGCTGGAATAGAGCACTTTCTGTTAAAACTATCTCCTGACTTACCAGATATGGATTTAGTTATAAATGTTAGAGATTATCCTCAATCAAGTAAACATTTTGGGGACCCATTACCTATATTTTCATTTAGTAAGGTAACTAAAATATTTATTATATCTAATACAATTTATTTCTTACATTCACTTAAAAGTGTTATATTTTGTAAATTGATTCACTGTATTAGCTAGAGATTTCGAGTATTATGAAATATATTTATAGACTCCACAATATTATGATATTACATATCCAGCATGGGCATTTTGGGAAGGTGGTCCTGCAATTTCTTTGTACCCTCGGGGTCTTGGAAGATGGGATGAACATTGTATATCTTTAGATAAGGCTAGTAAAAATGCATCATGGGAAAAGAAAGAAAGTAAAGCATTTTTTCGAGGTTCCAGAACAAGTTCGGAACGTGATAATTTGATACTATTGAGTCGCAAAAAGCCAAACTTAGTAGATGCACAATACACAAAAAATCAGGCATGGAAGTCTGAAAAAGTAATGATTTTTTATTTGAATTTTTAGATATGGTTGCATATGTAGGACAATATTTTATTTTATTATAGGATACATTGCATGCACCTCCAGCTTCTGAAGTTCCTTTAAAAGCACATTGTAAATATAAATATCTGTTTAATTATCGAGGTGTTGCCGCATCATTCAGACACAAACATTTATTTTTGTGTCGGTCGTTAGTATTTCATGTAGGAGATGAATGGATTGAATTTTATTATGATGCAATGATACCTTGGATTCATTATATACCTGTTCCTAAGGATGCTGACCAAACAGTATTAGAGTAAGTTATTATCTGTTTTTAATTGTTAAAAGTATTTTCTATAAAATATCACTATTTTTATGTATTTTTAAATATATAGGGATTTGATACAGTTTGCAATAAATAATGATGAATTATCAGAAAAAATTGCAAATCGCGGAAGAGATTTTATATGGAATAATTTAAAACTGTCAGATGTCTCACAATTTTGGAAAAAACTTTTGAAGAGCTACTTCAAACTTCTAACATATAAAACAACTTTAGATAAAAGTTTGATTAAAATTGAAAAGAAAGGAAGATCTTAATAATATTTGTTACAATGTTTATTTAATATAAATAATTTTGTATATTTTTTTATTGAAATTTCTATTTTCTGATGTAAAGAATCGAGTAATAAAAAGTAATTTCTTAATTTTGTTTACTTGATTTTCAGCATGAGTATTAGTTAAAACGAACATATGATTTTTATTCATACTGTACAATGTGAGGGCATAGCATAATCTGGCAAGTTTCAATATGAATCATTTTAGTAGCCTGACAGAAGATCTAATATGGAAAAAGGCCTTGCACATTATATTGCACTAAATACATATTCTACTTGTGTATTAAACATTTTATACATTTAAACGTTTCAAATAATGACAATATAAAAGTTTTACAGGAGTTATAGTTTTCTTTGAAAAAACAATTTATTTAACAAATATTAGAAAACTGTACAAGGCTTTTGTGCTTTATTTATCCTTAAACACTAGGTAATGCTTAAGTACTCAATTATACATTTATAACAAAATTGTGGAAACATTTCTTAGAATGTAAAGAAACAAATGGTAATGCCATTGATGTTTCTACAAGAACACATGTATGCTATAAATTGCAAAACCTATTCATATTTTATTTTAACAATTAACACTTTTTATAAATCATTTTTTAAAATTTTCAAGTTAAAAATTTGTATTACATACATAAGTGTGATATGTGTCAAATGGTATTTACTTGTAATATATAGCATACATGTATTTCATACAGAGCATGTACATACATTATACATTATTGCTTTTAATGTCATTTGGGTTTTAAAGCATAGTACAAATAATTATTACTTTCAGAATAATCAAAAAACTGTTGTTTCTCTCATATAGTACATTCAATCTCACATTTTATAATATAGTCATTAAAAAATAATATATAATTATTATGAACATTATTTATTATAGTTTTATTATATAATAAGACAAAATATAAAAATAAGAAGAAAATTGTTCAAGAGAAAGAAGACAATGTATTGAGAGTAAATATTCACAAAGTAAGTTTGTTGTATAAATGAAAGTAAACAGAATAATTATAGCAATTACTGTTAATTAATAAACAATGATAACAACAAATTAATAGACACAAGAAAGCTGCACTTTACTACATTTTGGAGAACATTTTAAGGCACTTGTACGGAAGATAAATATTTTTTTGATGCAGTCATTACCATGAGTACTATAGATGTTTCCACAGGTTTTAATACTTTTTAATATTGCCAACTCAAAACTTAAGGGTTTTGAGAAGTTATTATAATCCTTTGTGTTTCATTACATTTAGGGAAGTATTCATATTTTATAAAAAAAAAAAAGTAATGAAAACTCTATAATACTCATAATACTGTCAGTTAAGAAACCAATTGCTTGTTATCTTTTTTTCACTATTTGTCATGTTGCAACATATTCCAGTTCTTTTTAAAATATAATTCTTGCATGAATATACAAACTAAGTGCCTTCAATATTAGTGTTTATACAAACCACGACATATGAATAAAGAATAAATAGGCAGTGAAAAAGGTTTGATAACACAATATTGCATGCGACTTAAAATATTATGTATAAATATATTTTACACGTTCTTGCGTATTTTACATATGTACAGCATGTCTCGTAAGATACATCGAATCTATCGATTAATAATGAAACGCAAAATCGTTAAATAAAACACACCTTACGAAACATGCTGCGAAAACACTTACAACTAGGATGAAGCAAAGGGATTTAAACAACTATACGCGTAACATTGCTTCGATTGGAATGATTGTTTCATGAGAGATTAAGACAGTAACGAACAAATATCACTAGCTTGTTCGTCAACGTTGAGAGAATGACCACCCACGATTTGTGAGTGCCGATAAGCACACTGCCATTTTTTGGCACTGTTTCTCTTCTCCGTGTTCGGCACACTTCAAGTCACACTTTCCCCATTTTTTAATTGTTCGTTCCAATAATTCTGGTAGACTTCCTTTCTTCGATGATTCTATCGGTTCGATATCCGTCGAACAGTTTCGTTTTTTACGTAGTAGCAAAAATTTTAGCCATGATCATGGTCATCAGACTGAGCGGGAGATACCACAACGTCGACGATGATTTGAAAATGCTTACCGCCGTAGAGCCCACATCCTGATTGGAGGACGTGACTAGTTGCTCATCCGTTTCGCCTGTCGAATTTTATAAAAGTCGTAGGAGGGGATTTATGCTAAGAAAATTGTTGCTGATTGGATAGTTCACTGCACGGGTCACACTCAGAACAGTTACGCGCGTGAAACAACAGAAGTCGAACGTAGGCTACAATTGTAGGCTGTTGTCGTTGTTTGGAACTTATAGTTATGTCGCGATCGGCTTTCTCGGAATGTTGTGTCATGAACCCTGTGGCTCACAATCTCGTTTTTACGATATTTTCCCCTTGAAAATTTGTTGTCTCATTTTGTTGCCTCCTAACCCGAGTTTACGACTCAACGAGATTCCTCGAACGAACAAGTTTTCATTCTCGTCTGTTCACTTTTTCCCAAACCCGCGCGAATCAGAGTGCAGATTGTTGTCCTCTGGAAAAGCGAGTTTTTTCTGGGTTAATGGAACTGCGACTATTTGTTACTGCGTGCAAAACGCAATTCCTGTAGTCGTTCCGAGATTCGTCAACAATTATGATTTTGGCGCCGAAATATCAATTGCGACGGTATGTTTTGCACTAGGTAAATATAAATGACAAGATTGTATATTAAATCTTAAGATTTTTGTGCTGTATGACAGTTTTTGTTTTCTTTATCGATCTTTCAGATTTTCAAAATCTATTATTCGAAAAAATTCAATTTCACATTTGCACTACCTTATTCTACTTTTTTCGAGGATTAATAGTGAGTAGATGATTAATGTTTAAGAAATAAACAGTAAATATTGACATGTGTCTGTATTTTTATGTTAAAATTTCAAAGAAAAAATGTGCTTTAAAGAAAACCAAACGTTAATTGCGAACTTTGAATGCTTTTCTTTTGTTTATATCATAAGAAGTATAAGGTATTGGCACAAATGATGAAAAAATGATTAAAAACAAAGTTTAATTCTCTGAAAGTATAAACTAAACGTAATAAATATAGATATAACAATGTTTCAAATTGTTCATCCCACACAAAAATCTTTGATAACAAAAACATATTTCACTTTATTGAAATTTTACTATTGAAAATAGAATTAAATAATATCTGAACAAAAATGTAGAAATTGAAATTAATTTACTAATTAAAATACTTTCATATGGGTTCATATTGCAACAAAATACTTCTAACATTTCTGTTAAAATAAAATGATATTAATAATTTACTTTTTGTACGAATCTTTTGTACGAAAATTTATGCTTCATATAAAAAAACAAACAGATAACTTGAGATCGTTATCTTTGCAATATGACATTGGTAATATTATTCTTTAAAGAAGTATACATTATAAGAATAAAGAATGCAGAGCGTTAAGAGGAACAGTCCCTACATAAATGTCCAACAGTTTACATAAGAACCTTACCAATGGAAATTAACCCGAAAATAAAAGTGGATGCAAGAGAATACAACATGCCCTATACCAAATGATTCCTCGTGGAACAAAATTATATGAGCTACAAGTATTCGTGCCAAAGTAAATTGTTTATGTAAGAAAGATCAACAAAAATACGTGCACATGAAAGTACGTGTGTGTGTGTATCGTGTATACGTATTGGGGGAGATAACAAAATTTCAAACGGGAGAAAGAAATAAGTAAAAGAAATAAGAGACATGGAGCCAAGGTCAGTTTTGTGTACGTTTGGTTACAGAGGGAGGGGGAAGGGAGTGGGATATCTCCCTACGGTAGATTAAGTTCCAAACAACGTATATAACCATCTTCCATACAGTTTTACCATGCACCTGTTTGTTGCTTCACACTTTTACGAAGATATACGTGCTTATACGTGTGCGTGTATAAATATAGGTGCACATTCTTATGCGTTTCGTGCTGTGATACATCCATCGCGAATATATGCAAGACTTCGTGCATTACTATTAGTGAACGTATAATTATGCGATACAATAAATTAATTTGACACAGGCCTGTCCTCAGATAGAGCTCTTTACCATGTCTTCCCCACCATTTCATTTAAGATTAAAATGTTACCAATTGTGAATTTTGGCGGGAACGTGATTTATCTCGTATGTACCATAGCTGTTATTTATTCACCATGGCAACGGGGGGGAAGAGTGGGGGTGAGTGATTTGGCGCCTAGAGCTGTTGTTGACAGACCTGATTTAATAATGCGGTGGTGAAATACTACTTTTGTTCGTGAAATTGTTACAAATGGTCAAACGGAATGTTAATTTAAAATTCTCCAGAATTTTTCACGTGCTAGAAAGCAGTTCCAAGTAGTATTTCTTTCGTTTTAAATATTAAAGTGCCGGTAGAAGTGTTATTCGAGAGAAAAAAACGTGCAAAGGCGGAATTCATGTGGAATGAGAAAAAGAACGATGTGACGTATTCCCAAAAGTGAACATTAAGTGTGTAACAGAGATTGATCAGTTGAATTGAAATGAGAATATTCGGGACACAGAATAGCCAGGAGAAAGGAGATAAAATACAGAGACGAAAGATATTTGATGTAAGTATAAAAAGAGAACACGCAAAACTAGAAGTAATTTGCGACCAAATGCGATTTTGTGAACAAGCAAGAAAAAGGAAGAGAAAATACAGAAACGTGCTAAATAGGAGAAGCTTAACGTTGTAATATTTACTGTTTTCAGCAAACTGGGTTCGGCGATGGTGACAGACGATAATTCACGCTATTCCTTTCTCGTAACCAGCGTATTGAACATGAGATACTATTCTTTTTCTTTTTCGGTTCGTCTTTTTTTTATGGACACGTAAAACTTCATTTCTTGCCTGGCTAGTAAATACTCTGGGCTTTGGAAAGCATGCGAATATAATTGCAGGAATGACTTCTTTAATCAAACATTAAGGATAGTGGGGAGGACGTTTGCGCGGGAATTTTGATTTTAGGAGGATTTCTGATATCTCAAGGAATCTTACATTTTATTAAAATACTTACATTTTATTTATTTATTTTTTAAATTTAAACTGCATGTTAAATATTAAAGAAAGTATATTTTTTCGTTAGTTCTATCACTTTGATAGTTTAGAACTTGAAACCATTTAATTTGAACTTGATATAACTTAATTTATTTAAGATTTTAGGTAATTCTTAATGTTAAATTCTATGGAAGCCATTCTAAGGGAAGGAGGATTGTCTTGGACGATTTCTTTAAAAAATTAAAATTTATATTATTTTATTATGTTGTACTACTATTTCTTTAAAATAATTTTTAAAAACAATGTGCATCTTTGCATGCTATTGAAATAAAAATTGGATAATTAAGTCTAGCTTATGTTAATTTTTCTGCCAATGTGCAGATAGAATTTAACGATAAATCCATCAAAATATATATGAATGACAACCTATCAAAGGGAACGTGTTAGTAAATTAATGGTTGCGCATATTAACCCAATTTTGATTACTGTTAGCACCTTCACCATGAAGTACCCAAAATTAGACGACCATTACATTCTTAAACATTATATTCACCGAAGAAGTTTGTGCAAACAATGAATATTGTCTTAAAATTCGTTTCATAGTTATATGCATCAAAACTAAATATCACGGTTCATCAGAAACGTTATAATTATATTTCGTTACAATATTTGAATACTTTCGGATACGAAATAATAAGATGTGTGATATTTGGATTATAATTAGCACCACGAGCGTGACTTAATATTATAAGGCAATGGATTGAAAGATATATTGTCAGACATTGCGTGGCATGTTGTATCACAATTAAGGTAGCGTGTGTCGTGATAATTCGAGTCTTTTGAACGCGCGAGAGCTGTTGGATAATGATTGTTCTAGTCAGAAACTATTAATACTTATTATACTTTAACTTTCTAGATTATAAAATCTCGTTTTTTAACGTCGTTTAATCTCTATGCATTATATTTTAACGATAAAAACGTCTTTTCATTCTAGATTGTTGAAATAGTGTCAGATCGATTGATCGAAAAATCATTTTCGTTGTATTTCATTGCGTGCACAAATTTCTTCGATGGCTGGAAGCCCTAGGTATGTAATAGCCAGGTGTTCGAGACACCAAATACTGTATCCTCGCCTTTTCTGCTTTTACGCATTTATTATTCACTTATTACCACTTCAGATTCCTGTGCAGAGGTGGAATAAGTTGAAAACTCTAACTATCCACTGCTGTGACGATCACAGTACTCTTACAATTATCAATAAATATAATTCAGATCATAATTTCATTAACATCAACAGTTATGAATTTTAACTTATTTGAAAGTATATACAAGAACAGTTATGTGTTTCAATTCCAATTTTAATAGAAAATCTAATTGTTAAAGCAATGTTTAAATAACTTATTGAGAAATTAGGTGAATAGTTAGCTACCTTTTATAATTTACGCTTGGACCGTTTTCTTTTAAAGTAAAATTAAAAAAATTATCGAACACTGTGTTTTAAAAATTTTGTAATATTATTATTTAACACTGGGACTAGCAAACCCATCAAAATACCGAATTTTAGATTTTTTAAGGTGCTTATGTCCAAGTGTATGGTGCAATAAAGAAATAATTCTACATGCCAATTTATTTTTCGTTAAACATTCTAATTTGGAAGTAAAATGCACCAGAATAAATACACCAGAAGAGAGAAAATATGCCACATTCAGCTCCGATTGTTCTAATTTTAAGTATGTACGCGCGTTTTCGTACTGTGATCACAGAGAAGTGGATAATACAGAGTTTTTCTGTGGCGAGGTAAGAATCTGGTCAGACTCGAATGAAGCTTTAGTACCTGCGTCTAAAATGATGTCTCCGACGTCACCATTTCTGTCATCGTCGTAATCGTAATCACCGTTTGCCGACTCCAGAATGCCGGCATGCGGAAATATATCTTCTGGATTGTTACGCATCCATTGGACATTACCTAGTGTTCCTTTGTTCGCAGATCTGCACCCGAACCACCAGTAAGCTGTTGATCTTGGGAACGCTGGATCAGCAATGTCCACCTAAACAGCGATCAGGATAGTTCAATCGAAGGTATCGAGCTGCTTTTGTTTTTTTATTATTTTCTTTTAGTATTTTCTTTACTTTTCTAATTTATCCTTGTTTTCTACTATTTTTCAAAAATTTTCGACGCTCATAAAATCTGGATAACGTAAAATTTAGCTTTCTCGATAATATTTGTAATTTTTTGGATAAATAATTAATTGAAAAATTACGTTTATACGTATTTTGTTTACTTCTCTAATTTATCCTTGTTTCAATGAAGTAAAAAAGAAGATTTTGTATCTTTCAAAGGTGAACGAAATCGTCGTTAAATTTCTGCTTTTCAAACTGAATAATTTTCATCTGAAACGATTTACAAAATAATTCACGTGTGCAAAGTAAGATTTCTATTGAGTTTGCTGGAGAACGTGTCTCACCATAAACACTCTCTTTTCCCTTACAGTCTTTCATTCCGTTTTTCGCGTAAAAAATTGCATGTATCGTAAGATATTTAAGTTGGATTATAATTTAAACCCTTGTATATAACTTCGAATTTTCTTTCGCGCGGTATAAAACAATTGACAATACTTAATACAGATTTGTCAGCCGAAGAATCTACTAAGTTGACTGATTTTCGAGATAAATAAAAAGCAAGGATATTTCGAAAGGAAAAGTTTGCCGTCAGAAAGTAAGTACAGTATATTCTCCACAAGTGTCAGACCGCAAGGAATCTAAACCTGACACTTGTAGAGTCAGGGACTACGTTTTCGAGCCTCGCGCCCGCCTTTGTAGTTTGCCGAACGTAGACAAGGACAGCGAATAAAAGATAAGCATGAAACGTGAGTCGAGGCAACCAAGCGATTTAAATACCAACTTTTTTAATTTTACGTTTTTTTATCCCGAAATTTTTCTTAACATATTGATGAGATTTTTCTAGTGAAAATGACATAAAACACGACATAATTTGAACAACATGTCACGCCAGACAGTGAACGTGTTAATAAGTAAGTATTGTTCAAATTATATCGTGTTTGATATCATTTTCATCAGAAAAATCTCACCAAC